ACGTATTCTTCCAGAGTAAGTTCGCCAAGGAGGAGCGGGATAAGGAAAAACTGGATAGGTGACGCAACATGCAATTTGTCAAACGACCCCCAACGCGAAGCTAAAGCCACACGAACATCAGTCAGAACATGAAAATCATGTAGTTCAGCGCATGCGTTATTTGAAAGCTCGCGCGTACAGCAACGAGGTTCTGTGTCTGCGGGGGCCGATCGGGATAAACTTTGACGCGTTTCAGGCACGGTGTCTTCGCATGGTTCTGAAGATCCCTCATTCCATGACCTCCCACGTACCCAGCGAAAGCATGCGGCAACGAGCAAGGCAGCGCCGTCTGAACAGTCACATTCTCATGAAGCAGCTGGACTTGTTTGAGAAGCTTGGTAGCATACCGGACCCAGCACCTCGCGATGCTGTTTTCGTTTCCAGGAGCCTTGTGTAACACGGAAGAAGAACGCGAGGCCGCCCCAGGCTGACATGGGTACGTGTGATGCACGAGCACGATGCTTTGCAAGCGTGTTCGGCCTCTGGCATATCTATGCGCGGTGAACTCGGCCCGGTCCACAGTAGAGCCCGGTGGGAAAGCATTGCCCAGACATTTGCTTCCTGGGAGCTTATGTATCAGAGCTGCTGTATGTAGCCTTGTCGCGTTCATCCGATGCGCCGTCTGGCGCGGCTCCACTGACTGACTGAGAAGGGGATGGTGCTGATCAAAGACTGGGCAGGGAAGGAGAGGAAAATAGGTAGGTTGGTACAGCGACGACGGGGAAGGGCATGGCAGCCGCAGTGGAGGAGCCTACGCGGAAGTGGTTGGAGAAGGCGGGGTCCGAACCGACGTCAGAGAGCGAATGACGCTATGACGGCCGGTCACGGAGTTCGGCTGCGTGAGAAACCAACGCGAGTTCGACGTTTAGACGGTCAAATATGTGTACATGTACGATTTCAGGTACAACCGTGTCGACCCAGGATACCAGGACACGGGCTTCTGATATTCACCATGCGACTTCTTTCGCAATGGCGATAGAACCACGGACGGCGATCACCAAATATATCCCAAACCAAATCATGAATTGTCTTCATCATCTTGTGCTGGGTTTTCGAGGTTGACCTTTGGGTATGGAGAAAGTCCAATGGAAAGTGGCTGTGTTTCGTTTTAAACAGCAATTGCTGGTGGAGGTATGGGGGAACTCTATATCTTGGGACGCTCCGTTACATTCAAGGCATGCGCCAAACGAGCTTCGCAGGCCCTCCGCGTGAGGATTCAGCGCGGTCCTGACTACGCGGGGGAGGGCACTTGGCGCACCCAGCGAGGTTCCATCAATTTCTGCGTGCCGCGCTCTTCGGCGTGCAGACGACCAGTTTCAACGGCTTGCTTTTGAAGCTCCAGCTCCTTTGCCCGATTCAGAGCCGATGAAATCCATGACCTTGCCGCCGCCCAATCCGCCCCCAGCGCCAGGGCATGCAGATCCCGATGCTGTCTCGCTGCTGCCATCGCCCCTCGGGCGTTTACGCAATCGAGCCCAGCGGGGAGGCGAGCGCCAATTTATTCCGACGCGTACTTATAGTGCCCATTTTCCGGGCACCGCGGTGGCGACAAGCTTGCGCGCGAGTCCGCTCGTTGAGGCTGGCCGCCCTCTACGACAGAAGGTGGAAGAGGGTTGATGCGCCGAATCTGTGGAGATGCACCGGCATGCATGTTGGCATGTGGCTTCTTCCAGAGCGGTTGGTGCAGAGATGAATGAACCGCGTCCCGCTCCGCCAGCCGTGCCAGAGTGCGATTCGATCGCCCGTGGCTTTAGGCGCGGCGCATCTGTTTTGCACGCTAGGCATGAGAGCGCCAGGAGTCTCTTCGCCGACGGCCGCGTCGACGAACTTATGCGCGAAGCTGGGGGGCGCCAGTTGGATTTTATTCGCCTCGACGAAACTCGGCGCGCGGACATAGTGGCGTGGGGTTTGTCGAACTCGCCGTCGGATGTATTTCTGGAATGTGGCGCGCGTCAGGAGGGGTGGTAATCGTTATGCGTAAAAAGAGTGGGCAAAGCACGCGCAGGACGCCGCGAGGGCCCTTGAGAGGGCGGCGTTCATCGACATCGCGCGTCGCGGAATTCAATTCCGATTGGGGATGGCGTATTTTTCGCGCAGTGGTTACGGGGGCTCCTAAATTCAGGATGTGTGTCCTGTCTTGGGAGCTCGTCAATGGACGTTTCGTGGTTTCGGCGGAGTTCAATGCCGAGGCTGGCAGCCGCGCGGAATGGGGCGACAGATTTCAGGGAAGCACGGTCGCGGCATGCAAATTGGCGGAGGGCATTGGATGACAGCATGGCGCGCGCAGAATCGGTTGGCGATTGCGAGCGCAGTCTTCGATGGGCGCCCCGAGCGCAGGCGGCCCTTCTTCGGGGAGGGCGAGCGGATGCGACAAATCGGTGACATGTTGCGCGACGTGGGCACGCGACCTGATGTTTTCGATTGTGTCGCCGCGACTGCTGCTGGCGTGGGCCGCGACCATTCGGTGCCGCGCTACAAGATCCAGATGCGGAAGGTGAGAGCGCGCAGACCGAAGGGCACGATCAGTGGAAATTTAGATTGGAGTCAAGCGGGCCTCCATGCACTCCGAGAGAATGTGTCGACGGCGCTTTGTGGCGGCGCCGTCGTCGGCGTCGCGGGCGAAAAGCCCGCGGGCGTTGTGCATGCGCCCGCTGTTTCTCGTGGTGCTGTTGCGGGGGCTCGGCGCGAAGGTGCCTTGGGAGAGAGCGCGTTGGGCGATGATCATCTTTGAGTTCTCGTCGAGGGAAGGCGTGAGTTGAGGCCAGCAGAGGCGAGCGGGCGGACAGCTGAGCGGGGGGATACTGCATCAACTTTGCAATTTAACCGTGTAAGGCTGACGAGAAGATCAGTGTCATTCTGGCAAGCTTCCGAGGCCTGCGGGACATCCGCCGCGTCGCGAGCATCTGCTGGACAACGCAAATTCGCGGCGTGCAGGGCAAGAGCGGGCAGGTGATCGCGTCGCGGCATAATGTCGCCGATATTTTCTCCGTTGTTCATTCGGAGCTGTGTTCTTCAATTCGCGCGCGCGGGGCGTCGCATGCGGCGGCCTCCCCAATCGCGTCGCCCATGCCGCCCGTCTCGGGGAACGAGCCGAGAACGCGTCGCCGAGTATTCCGCTGGGATAATCGCCGAGGCCATTAAGTATGGCGGGCCGTTCCTGGAGAAAGCGTTTTGCGATTCGTGTAGCCTGATCGTCGAGCCGGGGGCGGCGCCGCCGCAATCGTGGAAAGAACCGGCTGCAATTGTCATCCACAAATGAGGTGATGCGGCCGATGTGAGGAATTACGTCCCCGTTGCAATCGCCCCTCTTTGGTATGCGTTGTTCGCCGAGCTGCTGTGCGCTCGACGCTGCCCTGTGCCCGACGTCTCCCAGTGCGGGGGCCAAGCGCCAAGCTGGTTTCCGTGGCAACTCCCAGCGCGGCGAGCAGTCTGTTTACAGTTGCAGTGTTGCAAGAGAAGTGTCTTGAATTCCGGCGGCCGGCATTCGCAGAGCCGTCGATCCGATCGATTTGGGTTAGCGCTGCAGCGGCAGGGCGTTCCGGATGATTATCTCGGATGACTATCTAAGGCTACTCGAAGAATTTGTATCCTGGGTGATCTGCGCGAGTGTGCGCCGACAGAGTGAGCGAACAATTCGCCGTCCAGCGTTGCGCTGCAAGGAGACCCCCTGGGCTCTCTTCTGTTCCGCGCGCTGTTGAAGGATGTCGCGCGCGTCGACAAGGCCAAATGGAGGCGCGAACGACGGGGGCTCAAGCTTGGAGCGGCCCTCTGGATCACGCATGTGCGATTCGCCAATTCCTTCTTGAATTATTTTTCTTTGATGCTTGGCGCGTCTCTGTGCCGGGCCCAGAGCGTGCTGCGAGATTGTGGCGCCGGTGCTCGAGCGGGGCCTGGGGCTCCATCCCGATGAGACGAAGATCCTGCGCGGCGCTACCTCGCGCGCAGGGGGGCCGCAACTACTGCGATCATTGACGGCGTGGACATCGAGATTGGTCCGCTTTCAGAGGCTTGGAAGGATCGATGGAGACACCTGTCTTTCCGCAACGTGCACGCGACACAGATCAGCCACGTAATTTCGATTGCATGGACAAATTCCACGTTCACCGGGCAGAGCTTACGGGCAAGCGATATTTTATCAATTTCCGACCCCGTCTCTTTGAAATTACAGTGTTTGCGACATTTTTGTATGGATGCCAATCATAGTGTCCGACCAAGCCTCTATAAGACCAAATGCGACTAACTCAACGACGCATGCTCCGAGTGATGGTCCGCACGCCAAGGAGGAGGCTTCATGCAGACCAGAGCCAGAGTGCATCCAACGATACAAGCACCACAAGCAATTCCTCTGTCAACGGCGGCCTTTCCAGTATTCGTGTTTGCTTGGGCCCTTGGGTCGATCGGATACGACGGGAGACTCACAACGCAGAGCAGCATTCAGAGCGTCCCCACATATCCGATTTGGTGGCCGCACGTCGATCTTCAGCGTGCAAACTTGTTACAACGATTGCAGCACCCAGGAAGCAGTTGTCTCCACTGAGCCGCATCACCGACGACGCCATGCCAGACAAAAGAAACGGTGGAAGGATTACCGCGACAACTATTTGATCTGAGGTTCCAGGACGGAGGCCCTCCCGCGCTGCCCTGTCCAGGACCAGGCCCCCCAGATCTGATGGCAGCGCGTTCGCCTCTCCCTCCTCCTCGGCCTCTTCCATCCCTTCCTCTTTCATCATCCTCTTTCATCCTCCTCTTCCTCCTCCTCTTCCTCCTCTTCTCCATCCTCTTCCCCTCCTCCCTCCTCCGTCGTCCTCTTCCCCCTCGTTCTCTTCCTCCTCCCCTGGCCCGCAGCTGCACGACTTCACGGACACAGCGAGTACAATGCCCACTGGACAGTCAGGGAGCGTGGCGTCGTGGTGTGCGTCTCGTGTCCTCCTCCCTCTCCTGTTCCTCCTCCTCGGCCCGAGGCCCGCCGCCTGCTGCAGTCCTCCGACGGGGTGCGCGAGGAGCTGCTGGCGGAGGCGCAGGAGAGCGGACATTCGGGAGTAGAAGTCAGAAGGGGGGAAATATACCGCTCCCGCTACCCTTCCCTCGTTTTCGCCTTTTTGGGGGCCTCCTGGGCAGCCTTCGCCGCCACGTTTTTTTTTTTTGTTGTTTTTTGTTTTTGTTTTTCTTGTTTTTTCTTCTTCCTCCTCTTCGGAATTCGTGATCAAAGGAGGGTCTGGTCAGCGGTCGGGGCGTTCGAGCCTTTCAGGCGATGCCAGCCAAGTGTTTCCCCAGACATCCGACGCTACGATGTTTGTCAAAGCTTTGCGTTGCGCCAGAAATCGCGACCCGTCCGCCAGAGCCATTGTCTCGCTCGTTTTTTTGTTTTTTCTCCCCCCCTTTGTTTTTGTTTGTGATTCTATTCACGTATTCGCGATCTCGAGGGCTCTGGGACCTTTGTCAAGGGATGAACAACCACCCAGACCCGACACTTGGCATTTAGTAAACGGCCCTGGGCGTTTATTAGACAGCCCTGCCCTGTTCGATTCTTTCTCTATTTGCGTTTACTAAACGGTTTCGTGTGTCGGGGTGAATATTCTGTTTCTGCCCTCTACTTTACCCCCCCAGGAGAACTCGTCGGCGCTGGCCCGCGCGAAGGCCGAACTACAGGAGAGCCGCGGCCGCGAGGCTCTCCACCGCCAGCATCCGTCCACGGCCGCTGCCGCGCGGTCGTGCCCCTGGGACTCCGACGCGTGGTGGAGGAGGTGGAGGAGGAGGAAGAGGAGGAGGAAGAAGAGGAGGTCTGACCGCCCGCGTGGGCGGGCAGATCTTCTGGGCCTCTCAGGTTTCGTGGGCGGCCAAAAGGGGGGTGATGACTAGGGTGGGGGGATGGATATCATGGCGGGGGCCACGATATCAACTCCCCAGGTTTCAGGGTGCCTCTTCTTGTTTGAATACGTCCCTGGCACCCCCCTGGGCCGCGCACGTGCCGCTGGCCATGATTTGCGCCCCCCCTCTTGGACGCCCCCCTCTTGGCCGCCCCCGAACATTGGGTCGGAGCAGATGGGGTCGGAGGATCGCGCCGCATCGCCGATGCATCCGCGATGCGGTTCGATGTGTAGCCCGGTTTTCTCCACGCCAGCGTCGCCGATGCATCGCCGACGTCGGCGGTGCATCGCTGGTGCGTCGCCGATGCATCGGCGATGCGGCGCGATCCTCCGACCCAGTCGGCTCCGACCCCAGCTGGGCGGCCTGTAGATGCAGTCGAGGCGCTGGAAGAAGGACCGCGGTGGGTTCAGGATGGGGCTCGGCCTGTCGGGCGGTTCCTCAGGTTCATGTGTCGTGTGGGGCGTTTTTGTGCGGCCTACGCTTCAGTCGGCCAGGTCCCTCCACAGGGGGAACATTCAAACATAGTAAAGAACTCGTAAGGGGACGATCCTTCGTGTACCTTTGACTGTTTTTGAATAGTTCTGGGCACTTTTTGATTTTCGTCCAAAATCCGCCTGTAGGAGGACATGCCCGACCTATGCCTACGCCCGCCACGGCCAGAAAGAGCCCTTCGCTCCTTAGAAGTATGAAGTCGGGCATGTCCCTCTACAGGAGGAATCTTCAAAAACAGTCAAAAGATAGTCAGGGGACGATTATTTGAATGTTGATTGGCTTACGCCGCACCGCCGGCCCCTTGGGGCGGCAGTAAGAGTGAAAAACGGAGTTCGCGGAACGCGCGCGATTGGGACGTTTTTTGCTTCTTGAGGGTCTTAGACCGTCTTGAGGCCCTCTTGGGCGCCTCTTGGGCTGCCTGGGGTCGATCTTCGAAGGCTTCTTGGGCCGTTGTGGGCCCCGTGAACGCCCAAGAGGCGAATGTGCTAAGAATATACGTTTTCCTCAGGGAACGGGACGATTTTTGTTTCTTGAGGACCTCTCGGGACGCCTCTTGGTGGCTTCTTGGGGCGTCTTAGGGGCCTCTGGGGCCGTCTGGAGGCAATCTTGCGCGTCTGGGAGCGACCTCTCGGCGACTCGTAGCTCTCGGGGACCGTCTGGGAGGCCTTTTGGGACTCTCTTGGCCTTTTTTGGGGCCCCCTGAGGCTCCAAGGGCGCGTCTGACGCATGTGTCCCCCCCCCCCCCTCGAAACCAGCTGGAACGGGCTCCCGGGGGAGGGGGGTTTGGGGAGGGGGAAGCATCTCACACGCCGTGACCCCGAGGGGTCGGCGGATTTTTGCGTATGCGTATTTTTGAATTGACTATTTTCTTTCAAAATCCCCTTATAGGAGGACGTGCGCGACCTAACATTAGTATGCGTCCCTTCTGGTAGCGCGATGGCTCTGTCCATCTGCGCCGCTCTCCGAGCCCGTGGGACACGACCCTGCGGCAGGGCAGTGGCCGCAGACGCGTGCTGGCGGCGCAGAGGCCTCCGTGCGCGAGCACGGCGACGCCGCGCACGCGCGCCTGGAGGCCCGGTGCCAGGCGCTCGCGGGGCAGGCGCAGGACTGCGGCCGGGAGGCGGACGTGCTGCGCGAGCGCGCGCAGCGCTACGAGCAGGAGCCTCGGAGGCGGAGAGCCAGGGCCACCACGGGCGTGCGAAGATAGCCTCCGAGGCGAGGCGCGCAGCGCGAAGAGAGCTGCCCCAGGAAGAGGTACCCGGCACCGCTGCCGTTGCCTCGTTTTCGCCCTTCCGGGCACGGCTGGATTCGCTTCGCAGTCCTGGTCAGAGCAGAACCCGGGAGATGTCCAGGGCGTAGCGCTGTCGGTGTTTTTTTTTTGGGGGGGTTCCCACAGGAAAGCACACGCGTCCCGAGGGACACGGGTGCCTTTTCGCCGCTCTCGAGCTCTCGGGACCCCCCTGGGCGCATGGTGTTCCTTGACCATCACAGAGAGTTTCGAGCGCCAGAAAGTACCAGAACCGAAGGCTTTTCACGTGTCGGGCCCTCGGAGGCGATAGTCGTTCCACCGACACTTCGCGAGCGTGTCGGGCAGGAAGTCGATACTCTTCTCTGGGTGCTCGGATTTCTTTTTGGGGATCTGGTCCTTATTCACCAAAGATCATCAGGGGCAACGATAAGGGGGGGATAGGCATAGGGGGGGATACATCGACCCCACATCGCCCATTGATAATAGGGACCCGATAGCCCCAACCTGCCCAGGAACTTGCGGATTCACTATCGGAGGCCTATCGCCGATCTATCGGCGATGCTTCGCCGATTCCAGGCCGATGTTCCCCCCCCCATCCCCCTATCCCCCCCTGTCGTTGCCCCTCAGATCAGCATAGCAACCGGCCCCGAGGCCGCCGCCAACAAAGAGCACGGCTCAGGGCGAGGGGCCGGCGGCTGGCCCCAGAGGAGGAGGAGGAGGAGGAGGAGGAGGAGGAGGAGGAGGAGGAGGAGGAGGAGGAGGAGGGAGGAGGAGGAGGAGGAGGAGGAGGAGGAGGAGGAATAGGAGGAAGTGGAGGAGGAGGGGGAGGAGGAGGAGGAGGAGGAGGAGGAGGAGGAGGAGGAGGAAGAGGAGGAAGTGGAGGAGGAGGAGGAAGGCTCCGATTTGCTCCAGGCCTGCTTCGCCCAGGCGTCCCGAGCCTTCCCCTCGGGCCCGAGCCGCGGCGCCTCCAGCGCCATTCCCCGGCGCGCGACGCGCGCCTCGGCACCGATCGGACGTGTGCATGGCTTCTCGGCGGGGGTCCTTGAGGAGCACCCCGGATCGTCCTGCAAGAGACACTTTTTGATCCGTGGGGCGAGAGCTAACCTCTCCCGCTCTAAAAGCTAGGCGGGCTACGCACAGCTGTAACTAGGGAGACAGGGCACGGGAAGGCGGGGCCTCGGGCGGCCGGAGCGGGCGGCCCCCCCCCCCCTCCCCCCCGCACGCACACGAAAACTGAAGCGTGCACGGTGCAGGAGCGTCCGAGCGATGGCGCGGCGCTGGGGGGCAGGCGGCCCGTTCTCCGCCCGGGGAGCGCCGGCCGGCCCGCTCTTCGACGCTGCGCCCGCGGGGGGCCTCGCCCGTCCTGTTGACTCGGTGCCTTCGCTCGTGCCCGACGTGGGCTCCACGCGGGCTCGGCGCGGATTCGGCGCGGACTCGGCGCGGATTCGACGCGGATGCGACACGGGTCCGGCGCGCTCGGCACGGATTCGACGCGGATCTCGGCGCGACGGGACAGACACGGTCCCCCGAGCAGGAGACCCAAGTCTTGTGCGCTGGATCCTTTTTTGGCAACCCAGGGGCCCGAGAGCCGGCCCTGGGGGCCAACTCCGAGGACAGAGCGCTCGGATTGAAAGAATCGCGTCGGAGGTTTGGGTATTCCTGCAGTTCGTGGGCGCAGAGCACATCCACATCCAGAGGCCTCGCGGGCTGGTCCCCCCTGGGCCGCCACTCCGCGGACGCGGGGCGTTTTTTTCGCGGGTGCCCCCCGTGCAGGACGCATCCGTGCGCTCGCGTGTCCGCGGGATCGCGCGGCGGCACCCAGGCCGCGGCGCGGGTGTGGATGTGTGGATGTGTTCGCCGCTCGTGATCAGTGCACAGAGTCGGCGGCGAGCGAGGGGGGGAAGTGAGAAGGAGAAGGCCTCCTCCTCCTCCTCCTCCTCCTCCTCCTCTCCCCTCCTCCTCCTCCTCCTCCTCCTCCTCCTCTCCTCCTCCTCCTCCTCCTCCTCCTCCTCCTCCTCGTCCTCCTCCTCGTCCTCCTCCTCTTCGTTCTCCTCCTCCTCCTCCTCCTTCTCCTCCTCCATCGCCTCCGCCTCCGCCTGCGCCTCCGACTCCGCCTCCGCTTCCGCCTCCTCTTCCACATCCTCCTCCTCCTCCTCCTGGACTTCTCAGAAGCCCTCCGTCCAGCCTTCTGAGAGGTTCTCTGTGTCTCCGGGGCAGGCTATCAGAAGACTCCCCAGAAGGCCAGGGGACTCCGGAGCCTTCCGAGAAGGCCCGCCCCTTCTCATTTCCGCCCCAGGCACGCCGCCAACAAGGGATCATCGAGAACAAAAGGACCCCTAACCCTAAGCACACGATGAAGACATGTCCTCGCTGGGGTCCCCGTCTTCGCATCAGGGATCCTACATCTGGGCGGTTTGGCCTGGCACATTTGCAGAACATACCCCTTCTATCCCTAAGGTTTCTGGCCCTCCTAACTTAGGTTCCCTCCCTAAGGGTTAGGGTTAAGTCGAGCCTGTCCCTCTACGGGAGGAATCTGCAAACATGGGAAAACAATAGTCTGGGGGCGATTTTTTTTTCAAAACCCGCCTGTCGGGGGACGCGCCCGACCTAAGGTTAGGGGTCCTCTGTTGGTTGATCGGGGGATCTGCGCGCCGGGGACCGGCGCGTCGAAGGCGCTCCGACCGCCGTCGCGGCGCGGCGACGAGGCAAGGTTGACCCCTGTCGGCGGGGTGGCCCCTCCCGCGCTTCTCGGGGGGCCCAGGGTGATGTTTCTGGCCCTCCTAACTCATGAGGTCCCCTCCGAAAGTAGGCACACGAACAATGACATAAACATAAAAACTCGGGGGTCCACGCGAATTTCTCGCATCGGCGCTGGTGACCCCTGGCGGCGCATCCGGCGCCGCCCCTGGCCCGCTCCGCGCGCCGGGGAGGGGGGTCCGGCGCGGATTCGAGAAATCCGCGCGGACCTCCGAGTTGTTATGTTCATGTTTTTTTTTGGTCCCCTATTTCTGGGTTGCTCAGAGGAGCTGCGCGCCAAGGACCAGCAGCTGGAGCGCGCGCGCGCCGCCGCCGAGGCCGCGCGCGCCCAGGCGCAGGCCGAGGCGGCCGCCGCCGCCCGGCAGGCCGAGGAGGCCCAGCGCGAGGCCGAGCGGGCCCGCGCGGCGGAGGCGGCCTTCCGTCGGGCATGTCCCTCCACGAGGGGATCTGGACGCCCGACGTGGGCACGGAAAGAACGGGTACAGTGCCCCACAGCAGTTCCTGTTCCTCTTGAGCAGGGCTCGCTGTCCGCGCCGCCGCGGCCTGTGTCCATTCGAGACAGAAGGCCGCCCGCCCAACAGCGGCCGCTGTTGGGTGTGGGACAACCTTTGTTGTTGGGCATTGTACCCATTCTTTCCGTGCCCATTTCGGGCGGAGTGTCAGAGTATTCACGGCGCCAACATCGCAGAGCGGATCTCGCTGTAGGAAAACACTGGGACGGGCCCGGGCGTTCCTGGAGAAGGTCGCTCCGGATTTCTCGAGGTGGATCTCGTGCGGAGTTTTATCTTGCCAGGGATGGAGTCTGGCATGTCCTTCTACAGGAGGAGTATTAAAATCGGGGGCGGCCAAGAGGGGGTGATGACTAGGGAGGGGGGATATCATGGCGGGGGCCATGGTATCTCCCCAGGTTTCAGGGCGCCTCTTCTTGTTTAGTTACGTCCCTGGTCCCCCCCCTGGGTCGCGCACATGCCGCCGGCCATGATTTGCGCCCCCCCCTCTGGATGCCCCCCTCTTGGTCGGCCCTGATCTACAGGAGGAGTATGAACAATACTCAAAACATAATCTGGGGACGATTTTTCTTTGACAGTTCTTGGATATCTTTTTGGCTTTTTTCATTTTTCGTCCAGAATCCGCCTGCAGGAGGACATGCCCGACCTAAAGGCGGCTGCGGCGGCGGAGGCGGCGGCGGCGGCGGAGCCCGGTGCCGTCTAACTCGGCGGCGAGCCCGGGGGGGAAGTGCGAGCTTCGAGGCTCGAACTTCGAGATTCGAGGTGTTTTCTGGCGTTTTTGTGGTCTATTGGCGGAATTCCGTCCTCGGGATGCGTTCCACTGGTTGCGCCTCGCCGAGGGTTTTCCACGGGTGCCCGGATCGTCCCGGTCCGGTGTCGTCTAATTCGGCGGCGAGCCTGGGGGGGAAGTGAGAATCGAAGAAGAACCAAGCGCCATAAACATAAATTTTTGGCGCTCCGCGCGGATTGCTTGGATCCGCGCTGGGGCGCGCTCCGCGCGCCGGGGAGGGGGGTCCAGCGCAGATCCAAGACATCCGCGCGGACCGTCAACAGTTTAGGTTCATGCCGTTCTTTCTTCTAGAGAAGGGGCGGGCCTTCTCAGAAGGCTCGTGATTAGTCGAACACGTCGCGGAATCTAGACCCTACCCCCGCTTTCCACCGATTCATGAGAATCGATGGTCGGTGGAGGCAGGGTTCGCATGTCGCCACCTGAGGGTCGGCGGCGAGCCCAGGGGGGGAGTGAGAAGGGGCGGGCCTTCTCAGAAGGCTCGGACGTTCCCCGGCCCTCCGAGAAGTTCTCTCATAGCCCTCCCCGAAGGCGCGGGAAGCCTCTCAGAAGGCTGGAGGGCCTCTGAGAAGTCCCGCCGCCTTCCGAGAAGGCCTTCTCCTTCTCACTTCTCCCCCTCGCACGCCGCCGAGTTTAACCTACCTCATCCCACCGGGGGTCGTGACGTTTCAGCCTCACCATCCCGCCGCCCCAATGGGGGACAGGTCCCTCGGAGCCCGAAGGGAACAGCCTACCCAGACACGCGGCGTCCCGCTTTTTTCAGTGCGGGGTGCCTGGAGGTCCCGACCCTTTCCCCAGGGCAAGTTCTGCATCCCCAGTCCGTTTTTGACGGCTCCAGGGCCCAGCGAGGGCCCTTAGAGGGCGAAAACCATCACGATGTGCCCGTCGTGATTTCGGGGACGGAAAAGAGGGGGGTGATGACTAGGGGGGGTGGATATCATGGCGGGGGCCATGGTATTTCCCCAGATTTCATGGCGCCTCTTCTTATTTCATTACGTCCCTGGCCCCCCCGCAGGGCCGCGCACATGCCGCCGGTCATGATTTGCACCCCCCCCTCTTGGACACCCCCCTCTTTGCCGCTCCCGATGATCTCTCCACGACGCGACCACGTCTGGGTATGCCCTCCTCTGGGGGGCTGGATCGGCCAGTGGGGCCCACGCCCGTGGGGATGGGGATCGGATGCCGTCGGGCTGCTGAAGCAAGGATCGCTAGACTGGGGGGCCGCATGCGAACCCTACCCCTGCCCCCCACGATCTCTGAGGGGGAGGGTGGGGTTCACTTCGTTCGGGAGCTCCCGAGCGAAGTGAATCCCACCCTCCCCCTCAGAAATCGTGGGGGGTAGGGGTAGTGTTCGCATGTGGCCCCCTAACGAGGAGCGAGGCCCCTCGTGTGGACGCCGGGAGGGCCTCGGTGCACGCGGGGGGGGGGATCTGGAGGAACAGCCGCGGAGCGACCCCGGGAGCAGCGAGCCTCCCCCGAGCCCCACGCGGTACTTGATTTTTGAGCGCCCCGTCTGCGAGCGAGCCTCAGGAGCGGGCCCGCGGCGCAGAGGCGCAGCTGCAGGCTTGCGGGCGACGGACCAGTGGAGAGGAAGCGTGCTGCCAGACAGTTTCCAGATGTCCAGAAGGTGTGTCAAACGTGTAGGCAATACGTGAAGCACATGTCAGAACATGGTTTCAACATTTGACACGCATGCTTGATTCGACGATAGCATTGTTGGGGTGTCCGTTGTCATGGCACCCACCACTGCAGGCCGCGCAGGCGGAGGCGCGGCGGCGGCTGGGCGAGGCCGCCGCCGAGCTCGAGGGCCGCCTGCGCGCCGCCCTCGCGGAGGCCGAGCGGCTGCGCCGGGGCCTCGAGGCCGCGGAGGGCGAGGCCAGCATCCCGGGGGCAGCGTCGGGGGGGCCGAGGCGGGGAGGCGTCCAGGGGGCGGATCCCTCCGGGGGCCTCGGCGGGCGGTGGATGTGGATGTGGATGTGGGCATGCACACGAGCATGCATATGGGCATTGATATGGATACGGATATGGGCAGCGGTATGGATGCATATATATATACATATTCATAGACACATTTGTATGTACATAGGTGTACGGATGTACATCTACGTGTTTCCATGCTTGGCCATCTACCTAGACACATGCATGTGCATATGCACACACATATCCATACACACAAGCATATCCATATGCATATGCGTATGCACATAATATACATATACACATCTACACACATGTACATACACGTACATATACATATACACAACCACATACACATACACATATGTTTACATTCACATCTACACGTACACACACATACACATATACGTATCTACATTGACATGCACACATGCGTATACACCTGCATATATTTATTCATGTGCACATACACTTACATATACACATACATATGCATATGCATGTTTGCATATGCATATAAACATATACACAACCATATACATATACATGTACGTGTTTGTTTTACATTTGACTATGCATGTACATATACACACACGTACATATACGCATACACATACTTACACATACATACACGCATACACGTACACGTCCACATACACACAATCTACATACGCATATACACATACACATGACTATACAACTATATCAACATATAAGCATATACACGTATTTGTGTATACATATAAACACACATGCATGCACATACACCTATTCCCATACATATACATATACACATACATGCACACATATACATATACATGTACACATGCATTTACGCACATACATTCACGCATCTTTTGTACATGCACATATACACATACATATATACATGTATGTGTACATACGTGTACACAACCATACACACTGTATATACATACATATATATATATATACACAAGACTGCAGTGGCGCTTCGCGCCATGCACCTTGGTCCTTGAAGTTTGGTATGCAGGCGGAATGGCAGGAAGGTGAAGCCGACAATTTAGCGATAACTCCTGGTTGCCTTTTTCCGGCATCGCCGCTATAATGATGCTATTCGTTATCCTTCCTCCATGGTTATTGTTCCTTATTTTCGCCATACCCTGCGCATTCTCCCCATCCTCCTCAGCTCTTTTTTGCGGAGGCTCCTCCTTGGAGAGCCTCTAGGGGCCTCACAAAAGTTGTTTCGGGCTTTCTTGATGCCTTCTGGAGGCCTCCTGGGCGTATTCTGGGGGCCTCCCGGGGCTTCCTCGGGCCACCCTGCCTCCAACCGCCGTCTCCCTGAACGACCGAATCACGATTTGGAATTCTTCGGAGGGTCTTCGGGCCATCTTGGGCCGCCATGGGGCTCTCTGAGGGCCATCTTGGACCCGTGTTGTGCCGTTTTGGGGCTTTCTTGGACTGCCTGGAAGCCCTTTCGGATGGTTGTGGGGCGATTTGGGAACCTCCCAGGCGGCTTCGGACGCCCAGAAGACCGCCGTCTTGGAGCGTGGGGAAGCCGAAAAGAGGAGAACCCCACAATTCACCAAAAACCGACAGAAAATCAATGATTTTTGCCTCGGGGGGCCTTCTTGGGAGTGCTCTTGGAGGCCTCTTTGGGGCCGTCCTGGAGGCCTCTTGGGCCATCTTGAGGTCACGTTGGTCACTCTTGGAGCGCTCTTGTGCTGTCTTGGGGGTCTCTGGGACGTCTCCGATGACCCCCCCTGATCGCCCTAAGTGTGCTGGGAAGGCTTGGCAAAACGCCTTGCGAGGCCCGGTGGCCGCTTCAAAGCCCGTCCGGAGGGCCCCAAAGCCCCAGGTCCCGGGAGTCCGGTTTTGGGGGGGGGGGGGACGGGTTTTCCCCCCGCCCGGGCTTGTAAACATATAGGAAGAGGAACATCCACATACGTATACATAACCATATACATATACATATACATTTAATTTTACACATGCATTCCAACGTACATATACATTTACACATGCATATACATAGGCACATCCATATACTATACATCTGCAGATGCATCTACATATATATATATATATATATATATATATATGTGTATATATGTATATGACATATGTTCGGGGCCCCTGAGGCCGAAGCATGTCCACATCCATCGCCTGCTGGGACGTCGGTTCCCCAGGCAGTGGATGTGGACACATCCCCTTCTCGTTAAAGTGGGGGTAGGCTCGGGCGGGGGGGTAGCTCAGGGGGCGCTGGCCCGTTCCGCCACTGACCCTCTGCACAGGTCCCTCAGGTGCACGGCAGTGGCCATACAGTAGGAGCTCGACCACAAGAAACCTTCACAAGGAACCCAACCCTGAGACTCAAGGTCGTCACTTGATTTTTGGTGTGGGAACGTGAGGCTTTCCATAGCAAAACCATCGAAACCGAAGAAACCAAGGGCACCCTGGAGGCAAGCAGGGTCTTTCCTGGCATGGGTTTCCACTGTATCAGCCGCGCCCCCATCGGGTGACGCCAGGCTGCCGTGCAAATCCTAACTAAATGAGGTGCACCCTTGGCCGTTCGTGCTCCACTGCGCTGGGAGCTCAAACTCTGCGCGCGCAGGCTGGCGCCTGTGTGGCTGCGCTCAGTGGGCGACGCTCCTTCGCCTGGTAGTGGGGGTCAGCCTTTTGGGGGTCAGGAAAAGGTAAGCTCCAATTCCTTAGATTTTCCTCGTGCGGGGCCGCAGTTGTCTCTCACAAAAATGACTTCCTGTCTTTTGGTAGGTGATTCCTTTGGGAATTCCTGGCCTGGGTCAGTCTGTTTTTCTCAGTCCTTCGCTGACTCTGACCCCCAGAAGTTTGACCCCCATTACTAGGCGAATGACGCGTTCGAGATTCGAGGTTCGAGGTTTGGGCGTTTTCGTCGGTTCTCGTCGGTCTTTCAGCCTCGGAGTGCCTTCAGCGGTTGCGCCTCGCCGAGGGCGTTCCAGGGGTGAGCGGATCGTACCGAACGGCCGCTAGAGAGCCGAGTTATGGCCCGGGATGGTACCAGGGGGGATGCATCGATCCCCAATCGCCCATTGATGGGTGATCGGGGCACGACAGTCCACCCTGCGCAGGACCGTGCGGTGTCGCTATCTATCTGTGGCCAATCGCACACTGATCCGCGTGAAGACTGAAACAGTGGCATGAACAGCAACTTTTGGAGATCCGCGCGGACTTCTCGGATCGGCACTGGCTGCCCTGGCGGCGCCTCTGGCGCCGCCCTCGGCGCGCTCTGGAGGGCGTCCCCAGCGCGGATCCACGAACTGCTCGGAGCTCCGACAATTCCTGTTCACGCCGTGGTCTGTTCCTCGAAGGCCAGCGCGCTGCGGGAGCAGTGCGACGCTCAGCGCGCGCGCCTGGCGCGCGCCGAGGAGGCCGGCGCGGAGGCCGCCCGGAGCGCGAAGGAGCACGCGGAGGACCTGGCTCGGCGGCAGCACGAGCGCGCGGCGGCGGCGGAGGCCGAGAAGGCCCGGGCGGCGCGGGCGCTGGCGGAGAGCGAGGAGCTCGCGGCGCGGCGGGAGCGGCGGGCCCTGGAGCTGGAGGCCCAGACCCCTCCTCCTCCTCCTCCTCCTCCTCCTCCTCCTCCTCCTCACGACGACGATTCGTCCGACGTGTTCGGCCTCTGGGGGCCCTCGCCAGGACCCGGGGCCGTTCGCAGAAGGACTCGGGATGAAAAGCCGATCCAGGGAATCGGGCGTGTCCCCCTACAGGGAGATTTTCGACGAAAAATAAAAAACGACCCCCAAAAGATTCCAAGAAGGTAAAACAATGCCCAAAAAGTAGTCCCCAGACTATTTTTGTATTTTTTTTTGAATATTTTTGGGGCATTTTTTATTTTTCGTCGAAAGTCACCCTGTATGGGGGACAGGCCCGACTTAACCCTCGGTTCATGAAAACATCACGACGACGGTTCGTCCGACGTGTTCGGCCTCTGGGGGCCCTCGCCAGGACCCGGGACCGTCCGCAGAACAACTCGGGATGAAGAGCCGGTCCCGGGAATCCGGTCGAGGACGTGGCAACAGAATTATGACGTCTGGGGCCGGGTGAGCTGGAGGCCCAGCTGGCGGCGTCGGAGGTGGCGGCCGCGGCGGCCGCGGCGGCAGCGCTGCGGGAGCAGCAGCTGGCGCGCGCGGAGCTGGACGCGGAGCGCCGCGGGCGCTTGGAGGCGGAGGCGCTGGCGGCCCAGCTGCGGACGCAGAGGTCGATGCAGCCTCCGAGGCGGGACGGCGTCGGGACCACCGCCGGGATGCCCTGAGGTCCTGGCGTCTCAACTGTTTTGGGCTGGGCGCCCTCGCCCAGTCTCGGGCACCAGGACCCTCACAGGTCGATCCGCCGCCGACAATGATGCAGAAGGATGGGGTCCATGGCTCTGGTTGTGTTTGTTTGCTTTTTGTCTGTTTTGCGACGCAAGTCTTTTTGAGACGTCGGATCTCAGGGTACGTCCACATCCACTGCCGCGGCGTCGTGCCCCGGGATCCCGAGGAGCGGCGGCTGTGCGCATCCACCGCTCCCCGAGTCCCAGGGCCACGACCCCGCGGCAGCGGATGTGGACGTCTCCTGGCGGGGCATGCGGAGGAGGAGGCGGAGGAGGAGGAGGAGGAGGAGGAGGAGGAGGAGGAAGGAGTGAGGGGAGGAGGGAGGGAGGGGGAGGAGGGAGGGAGGGAGGAAGGGAGGGAGGGAGGGAGTGAGGGAGGGAGGAGGAGGAGGAGGAGGAGGAGGAGGAGGAGCAGGGGCGCCGTCGTCGCGCACGCGGAGAGCCGGCTGTCAGACCTCCTCCAGCGCCGCGTGCTGCTCTGGGGCGCCTGGCAGGCCTGGCTGCTCGCCGCCCGCTCGCGCGCGCTGCGGGTGCGGCTCGAGGCCGCCTCCCCGGGCGAGCCCAGCCTGGGCGCCGGCCGCCCGCTGCACGAGGAATTCGCGGCGGGCGTGCCCGCCGAGCCCATCCCAGAGCCGACCCCTGAGATCCGGCGCTGCGGGCAGAGTCGCGTCAGACCACGGCAGTGGCCGCGGGCCCATTGTGCTGCACGCGGGGCCGATCTGTGAGGGTCCCGGGGCCGAAGCGGAGCGAAAGCTCGATGATGCTCTGGACATGTGCTTGCCCCATGTGGGTGTGAGTGTGTGTGTGTGTGTGTTCATGCCGTTCAGCTCCATCGACAGCGTGCAGCCTGTGCCGCGGCCCTCACTGCACTGCCCGCATCGCACTGGAGGCTTCGGAGGACAAGCGCACGTGGGCGCTGGCACACGCTGCGAGGGTCCTCTGAAAATGCCTGGTGTGGAGAACTTGCAGCGCCCGGGTCTCATGGGACGGTTTCGTCACTCAAGCGCCTCCTGCTGGAGTTTCGGCGCCGCACCGCCGCCGCGGTCGCGGACATGGTGCCGGCAGGCATGCCCGAGGCCCTAGTCAGCAATCCCGATGATAGCCTGTGCATAGGCTCAAGCGTAGCCTGATGATAGAATACGGTGGGGGCGTTCGTTAAGGAATGTGCATCTGATCATTGCGGCGGTGATGTCCTTGGCCAAGCCTCAGTTGGTGTTCGACGGGCTTTCAGACCCTGGGTTCCTGATCCAAGCGTTCCTTATCCAATGCCCTCACCGTCGGCTTATAATAACCTTGTGAGTAGCCTACCGACAGGCCTATCGTGGGCTAATCGGTAGGCTTTTTTGGGGCTGGTTGCCTCATGCGCCGCAGGGCCTACTAGAGCCTGTGCTTCGGGTTCCCTCCCCAGACGTCCCGACACTTCCCCCCAGGACGGGCTTTTCATCATGACTCGTTCTTTGGAGGGCCCTCAGGAGCCGAAAACTGTCAAACACCTTGTGTCGTGTTTTTGTATTGTTCCCCAATCAGTGTTTGCACTGAAGAGGTCCTAGCAGATATTGAAGGATTTGCCGAAAGTTCCAGGCCGATTTCGGTAGGCGGCCGGGTTCCCGGGTTCCCAGTTCCGGTTCCCAAGTTCCCAGGTTCCGGTTCCCAGGTTCCTTGTTCCGGGTTCCGGGCCGATTTCGGTGGGCGGCGGGGTTCCCGGGTTCCCGGGTTTTTGGCAGATTTTTTGATCGATCGGTCTCACCATCGATCTCATTACCCACTTCTCTATTAATATCATTATCGATCTCACATTCGATCTCACTATCGATATCCCAATCGATTTCATGATAGATCGCACGAGCGATCTCACGATCGATCTCATTATCGATCTCATTGAATCGCCTTCACTATCGTCCTCACAATCGACCTTACAATCGTCCTCACTATCGAATCTACTATCGATCTCACAATCGATCTCAATATCCATATCACAAATTTTCAAACCATGCACTGATTGGGGTTTTCCTCTGGTGTACTTGTTGTTTTCAGGACACGCGAGCATGTCCGGGCACATAAGCCATGCGCAGAGTAAGACGTTTTCCCCTCCCCCTACGCCTACGTCGGGCAAGCCCCTCCACAAGAGTATGGGGACGTTTTTTCGTGCTCTTCTGACTCTTCTTGACTATCTTTATTTTTTCCCAACAGTCGCCTGTAGGAGGGCATGCCCGACCTACCCCTACCCCTGCGTTTCAGAAGCCGCGGGCCCTCATATAGACATCAGAGCCTTTCGGAAACAGCCTCCTGGTAAGACGCCTTCCCCCGTCCCCCTACGCCCCCCAGGCTCGCCGCCGAGCATATTGTGCTGCATCTTCGGGGGCCCTCGTCTGTCCCCCAAATCGGTGTCTTTCCTTGTGCCCGTTGCGGGCTCGATGTGGACTCGACGCGGAGTTGGCAGTGACGGGACAGACAAGGTCTCCCGAAGATGCAACACAACCTACGCCCCCCCTGGGTGCCGCCAAGCACAGGCTAGTGCAAATTGCCCGAGGAAGTGGAGAAGGAGGAGGAGAAGAGGAAACGCAATAATCATAATAGTACTAGTACTAAAACTATTGATATCACGATTACTAGTAATATCAATATTCGTACTACTAGTATTAATATTAATGGTTAAAGTCAGGCGATTAATCATTGGAATTGTAATGATACGAAGGAATTAATAATACGATTAAGAAGAAGAGGAGGGGGCGGAGGAGGACGAGGAGGAGGAGGACCTAGCCCTATCCCCCCCTGCGTGCCGCCGAGCACAGGCCAGCGCGCACTGCTCGAGGAAAGGGAGGAGGATGAGGAGGAGGAGGAGGACGAACCAGCACAACATACTAATATTAATAGTCGCATTACTAATCCGCATACTACTAATACTAATAATCTGTTCTACTCGTAGTACTAATCGTAGTATAACGATCAGATTAACAATCAGGAGGAATACTCATAATACTACGACTACTACTACTAATAATGATGCTGCTGAGGAGGAGAAGGAGGAGGAGAAGGAGGAGGAGAAGGAGGATGAGGCGGAGGTGAGGAGGTGGCGGAGGAGGAGGAGTCGGAGGATGAGGAGGAGGAAGAGGAGGAGGAGGTGAGGAGGAGGCGGAGGAGGAGGGTGAGGAGGATGAGGAGGAGGAGGAGGAGGCGGAACAATGATGACAACCATAACAAACATATATTAGTAATCGTAATACTAATTCAAGTGGTACTAGTAAACTATTATTTCTTTTATTTATACGACTGGTAGTGTTACTAATGATAACAATGAGGGGGAGGAGGATGAGGAAGAGGAGAAGGAGGAGGAGGAGGAGGAGCAATCATAATAAGAAGGAGGAGGAGGAGGATGAGGCGGAGGAGGATGAGGAGGAGGAGGAGGATGATGAGGAGGAGGTGAGGAGGATGCGGAGGAAGAGGATGAGGAGGAAGGAGGAGGAGGAGGAGGTGAGGAGGTGGCGGAGGATGAGGAGGATGAGGCGGAGGAGGATGAGGAGGAGGCGGATGAGGATGAGGATGATGATGAGGATGATGATGATGATGATGATGATGATGCTGATGCTGATGCTGATGCTGATGATGATGATGATGATGCTGATGCTGCTGATGATGATGATGATGATGATGATGCTGATGATGATGATGAAGAAATGATGATGATGATGATGATGATGATGATGACGATGATGATGATGATGATGATGATGATGATGATGATGATGATGATGATGATGATGATGATGAATTGAGATGATGATGCTGTGATGATGATGATGAGGAGTGAGGAGGAGGAGGAGGAGGAGGAGGAGAGGAGGGAAGGAGGAGGAAGGAGGAGGAGGAGGAGGAGGAGGAGGAGGAGGAGGAGGAGGGAGGAGGAGGAGGAGGAGGAGGGGAGGAGGAGGAGGAGGATGATGAGGAGGAGGAGGAGGAGGAGAGGAGGAGGAGGAGAGGAGGTGAGGAGGATGCGGAGGAAGGAGAGGAGGGGAAGTAGGAGGAAGGCGGAGGAGGAGAAGGAGGAGGAGGAGGAGGTGAGGATGAGGCGGAGGAGGAGGTGAGGATGAGGCGGAGGAGGATGAGGAGGAGGAGGAGGAGGAGGAGGAGGAGGAGGCGGAGAGGGAGGACGCAGCCATACGCCCCCTCTGCGTGCCGCCGAGCACAGGCCCGCATGCAGGCGGTGCAGCGTGCGGGCGCCCGCCCCCCGAGAGGCCCAGGCGCTCTTCGCCGCGGCGCTGGGCGCCGGGCGGCGGCGCTTCGGGCGGCTGCTGCACGCCGCCCTGCTCCTGTACCAGAGGCCCCCATCGGGGAGGGGGGGGGCGGGGGAGGAACGGGCACGGTCGGGGGTCGCAGGCCTGCAGGTGGACACCAACACCGACATCGGCGGTGTGCCTCCACCGAGGGAAGGAGAGCCCGACCTCGGTGATGGTGGCAATGTTCTGGCTGCCGAGGTGACCGGGCTATTACCACCAGCACCGAACTCTAGGAGCAGCTTCCCCCTGTCGAGGCAATCCCTTGTCTTGGTGTGTTGGTGCCCCTTTCCAGGCCTCCAAGGGGAGCGACTCCCCAAATGACCCCGAGCCCTTCTGGAGGGGACCCGAGCCAAGAGGGCCAGGAACATCAGGGACGTGGGGGTCCTTTCCCGCAGATGTGCCAGGCCCCTCGTGTGAAGACTCAGTGAGGCCACGTCTCCATCGAGTTATTAGGGTTAGGGGTCCTTTTGTTCTCAATGAGTCGGGGGGGGCGGGGGAGGAGAAGGTGCGGTCGGGGGGGAGGAGGAAAAGGTACGGTCGGACCGAAGTAGAAGTTTTCGGCGGCGAGCGAGGGGGGGAAGTGAGAAGGAGAAGGCCTTCTCGGAAGGTTCGGAAGCCCCCCGGCCTTCTGAGAAGTTTTCTAACCCTTGCCCGAAAACGCAAAAAACTTCTCAGAAGGCGCGAGGGCTTTGAGCAGCCCCGCCGCCTTCTGAGAAGGCCTTCTCCTTCTCATTTCCCCCCCTCGCTCGCCGCCGAAAGGTACCGTCGGGGGCGGAGGAAAAGGTACTGTCGGACCGAAGTAGAAGTTGAGTGTGTTCCTGAGCCAGGTCCCCCGCCTTTCTGTAGAGCTGCGTGCAGGGACCTCACAACCTCCTTTCTGGTCGTCGGTGCAGATTTGGAGGTGTCGGCGCGGCGCCCATGGCGACCAGTTGACCCCAAACAGACATTGCATATCAAACCAGAAAGTGGCACGCCTCCCGAGCGCCCTGCGCCCCGACCCTCCTAGAAATGGCCCCGCAGGCATACTTACAGTATAAGATCGAGGTCGGCTCGGGGAGGGTACCTTAGTTTCCCTCGTGTCTGGCGTATGTTCTTGTGCATCGGGTACCCTGTGGGATCTTCTGGTTTGGGGTGTTTTGGCCGGCGGAGGGTCTCATGTTCTTGGAAGGATGTTCTTCTGTTCTAGGTCGGCCGTACCGACACCGCTACCCTTCGCCCGCTTTCGTCCTTTTGGGCCTCCTGGGAGGCCTTTGTCGCCACCGCTGGATTCGTCTCGAAATCCTGGTCAGAATCTCAGAACGCACCCTTGGAGAGGTCTGGGGCGTAGCGGTATCAGTACCTTTTGGTTTCACCAGAGGAGCGTGCCCCGAGCTGCTCCATGCAGGGTCAATTTCGATCCGATCGGTCCGATTCGATATCGATTCTGGCGCTCGACCCGATTCGATTCCGAAATTCCGACGATCCGATACGGCCCAGCTGGTCTGATACGGCTCGCATGGCGTTGATGTGCATTTCGGCGCAGCCGGTCCGATTCGACCTCGACGCCGTGACGATGCGGCCGTCTCTTGGGGGGGGGACAAAGAGTGCCACGAGCTTGGAAGAAGAGAAAGGTGCACAAGCATACACGCTCGGATCTCCGCGCGGATTTTTTTTTTTTCGATCCAAGAATTCCGCGCGGAGCTCCGGAAGCTCACGCGTGTGCAGCTTTTTCAGAGTTTCCCCACGGCCCCAGGCCTCCAGCGTGCTGAACAATATAGAGGTCTCGGGGGGCATTCGCTTGGCTCCAGGAGCGCCAGAAGACAGCACGGGGCGAAGAGCCGGCCCTAAGGACAAGGTCGGGACTTCGGGCACCGCGTCTCGAACAAGACCGAGCCGATGACATTCATTCCTGCCTGCGTCCTTGAAGGGGCCCTGGGACACACAAATAAATGCACACAAATAAAAGTATTCCCCATATTTTCCCGTATTTTCGGGGTTTTTGTCTTCCCGCCCAATTCCCATATTTTCCTATATGTTCCTGGGACTCGATGATTAATTGTGTCTGTGTGTTTCTTTCCCTCCTGAGTCCTGTTATCACCCATCCGCCCGCAGCTGCGGGCGTTTGGCTCGAGCCACCTTTGCACGTCAAAAAGGGGGTGATCGGCGAAGCTGGCTGTGGAGAGCTGGCCGCGCTTCGTAGTTGGTAAGCAAGATCGCCGCCGTATCGTCGATCAGCACGGGGGGTCTTGCCATGCACAATGTCCCCCCGAAGAGGCTCTTTGAGTCAGGACAGTGTGGAGAAGGTGCATCACATTTGTTGGACGGTTATGCAGATCATGTAGAGCATCTCATCCAACGCAGGTTATCAGCCGAAAGCTGTGGGATAACTGGTAGAAGGCATGATGATACATCATACGTTGAACCAGGCGACGGTTTACATTGCAGCTGCAATGCGGCTGGCAGTGGAAACGCAAGGGCAGACGAGAGCCTAAAAACCATTTCGCAAGTATGATCTCTGGGCAAAGAACGTCGGCAACCCCGTTTCTACTCGTGAGCAAGAATCGATTCAGACCTCAAACCGAACAGTGAACGAGGGTCCCCGCGATGACGTTGTCACGGATCACGGGGGTCCTCAATCTCTCGTTCGGCGCCAGGAGACGTGAGTAAGAGCAGGACCTCGACCAAGTTTCCCACAGAAAGCAGGAACGATCTGGCAACGGCGCATCATGGTGATGCCTTGACAGACCCAGAGGCGCATGCCATAAGTCCAAGTCGCCAGTGGCCATGAATGCAGATCCACACCATGCGTGAATCAAAATGACGATGTAGAGGCGCACTGGCAGGCTTTTGGCCAAGGCCATGCCGGTGTAGTCGAGGACGATGGCTTTGTTCCTCAGCATGTTCGGATCCCGTCGAGTGTGGAAGTGTCCCTGGGAACCGCGAAGAGCCAAGGAGAGATTACTTCGGATCCCCCGCCGAGCCTGCCTCCCGACTCAACCGAATGTGGGCAGCCTTTTGTCATCGACGGCGCAAGGGGCGTTGATTCGAGAATTGGTCCTCAGCGTTCTAGGGGAACCAGAGAGGGTGACGCGTCTGATGAGCTCGTAGGCGCGGCAAAGAGACAGTTGGCCGGTGCCGTCGCGTTAGCCAGGATTTACCCGCGGAGGAAAACCCCCCCAGCCAGATCGCGACAGAGGGCCTGATATGGATACCCGTATCACTCTGGTCAGCAAACTATGGCAGAAGAGGGGCATGGAACATTTCGCGGAAGGGCTCCGAACAAAAAGAACATGTCGTCTCGAACCAGGGGTGGCCCGTGTGATGCGAGGGGCATCAGGTCGAGACCTTGAGAGTCTGTTCGGCCGAATGTTTTGTGCCTAAGCATGGCTTCCGCGCAGAAAGCTTGCGGGCAGCTCCTGCCTCGATGCGGGAGTGCGGCGGGATCTCGTTGCCCGGGCCGATCAGGAGGTTTTGCCGTGCCTTTGTGTTTGGACTGTTCGCGCGCGTGTCAGGGGTGGAGTGTTCCAATTTCTGTGCGACGGGCGTGTTCCTGTAGCCATCCACAATTGCATTGCATCTCGGATGTCGGACTGGCAAATCGCCCGGCGACTGGAGGTTCAGGCTGCAGCTCTGAGGATGTAAAAGAACTGCGAGCACCGCGGGGGTCAGCTGGAAGTTACCGGCGCCGAGGCAGCCGAGGCGGCTCGGATGCGAGCCAGGCAGTAGGTTGCCGATCGTCGGATTCGGGCGAGCACAGCGCGCCGTGGCCGAACCCGAAAGGGATCAGGAGGCGAATCGCATGGTGGAGCATCAGTATTGCGTCCTAGAGCGTGATGCTTCTGCTCGCGGCAGCTGCGCGTCCGAGCAGGCTTTCAGTCTCGTTGAAATGACACAAACCAGGGCCGAGGAGGCAATCTCGATTGGGAGTCGTGGGGCGCGGGCTGTGAAACTCGAGTGCGGAAGAGCGAGGTGAGTCAGGTCCAGAAGGGCGAGATGATCGCCATGGAATGGACGAACAAGGAAAGGACAAAGGCGAAAGAGCGCGAGTTGAGCAACCGTCGTTGGCATAACGCTCGGGGCATGGTTTTCAGGCAGCAGGAACGTCGACAGTGGTGCAGCCCGCTGGCACGAGGAACGCCTCCTCGGGGGGCGGATGGGGTAACGGGGGCCGCCGATGGCGGTGCTGTCCTCTGCTACTTTCGCGTGCCGCCTTGGTGCGCAGACTGCCGTCAATGCGACGAGCCGTATTGTGAAGGCCACTTCGACCGCGCGGCTGTGAGGTGTCAAATCTGCGCCAGTAGTAAGGTTGATGACAAGATCGCAACGGCGCGTCGTGTCGAGGAAACCGAAGAGTAGCGTCGTAGGGCAGAGAGGGTGGCTGGCGTCGTAGGGCCGAGCAACGGGCACGTGTGGCAGCTGAAAGGGACATGGATAATCAGTCCTGGTAGAGGGGGCCGCGATTGCGCGCCCCCGAGGTGAGGTTCCACGACGTGAGATGCGAACTCAAAGAGCGAGAGCAAGCCTTCGAGGAGGCCGAGGCCAAGGCGGCCAGGGATATATAAGAAATGGCTGAGTAGCTCGCTGACCGCGCGGAGAAAAGAGACGAGGGGCAACCCTCGAGAGTGGCCGAGGAAAGACGAGGGGCGTTAAGTCCGAACTTGCATTCCTGGAAGAAGGGAGGGGGCCCTTGCCTTGGGGGGGGCCGACGCTGCTGAGTCAGAGGCATTCTTTTTTGAGCTGCCTGAAGCTAATCTGTTCGAGGAGCAGGAGAAAGACGCATGCGAACCGTCTGCGGGGAAGGGTGAGAGTCCTGCGAAGCGTGCCTAAGCCTCGCGACCTGGGGCGGTTGCGGCGGGCCGGGAGGGGGCCCCGGCTGGGGCGGCGGTGTCGGGGGAGGAGATGATGACTGCCCCGATTCCGACCTATTCGAGCTAGTGGTCTGTCCCCTCCGTTCGGAGTGGTCGGAGCGCCTGAAGACTCCGGGATTGGGAGGGCCAGGCGGCCTCTGGTAAGCGGCGGGCCCGATTGGAGACGGCCCAGGAAGTGGTCCCGGTGGCCGTGGAGGAGGATCCAGCCCTCCCGGATGGAACGGTCCTCATGGTGGAGGGGGGCCGCCGGGAGATTGTGTGGTTTTCCTGATGGCGGCGATGGTGGATCGGCCCCTCTCGTCGGAGATGGGCAGAGATATCCCGGGAAAAGCGCAGCGACCAGGATCCCCCTTCCAGACATCCCCAGCGCCGCCTCGTTGTCCAAGTGGTCAATTGCAGCGTTTTGGCTAGTGGCCGCTGCTGCGTCTGAGAATGATGAAGCGTTGATGGTTTCAGCAGGCTGTGGATGTCAACCTTCTCATGGGTGATCTAAAGAGCCATGGCAGATTTCTACTATGGCTTATGCGGTTGCGCTTGATCTGATTCCAACGTGGAAGAAGCTCTCAAATAATTCAACATCGACGGGCGGGACGAAGATGATTGAGGTAAGCAAGTGGGAAATGAAGAGTCCTCGGGTATGCGTGCCTACCTTATGAACGCTCTGGGGCCCAGGAGGAAGCGGCAAACGAGAATGTCGCCAAGAACGGTGCGCCAGCCGAGAATAGACTTCCCGAGGGTGGGAAGAAACCGCGGGGGAGAGAAAGGGGGAAGGGGCGAGAAAGTGTGTTGGCGTATCGTTGCGAGCTATGTCTGTCCCCGCGGTGAAAAGTGTTTCTTTCGCGCCTCCACCCCTGGCCTCCCTTCGCGGTTGCGCGCAGTCTCTGGGGGTCCATCTTTGCTGCCTGCGCCGATCAGGGAAAACGCGAAGTGCCACCAGTCACGGAAAAGATCAGGTCGGGAATCGGTCCAATGTGCCGGTGAGCCCGAAGGCTGTGCTGTGTCAATTGGAGAGATGACGAAGAGAGTCCATCACTGTGAACATTGCCCCTGCCATCCCCGTGGCCCGCGTTCGACCTAGCGGGGGTGCAGCGCGCGCCGATTCTATTTCTGCAGCCGGTGCTGATGCAGTGCCTGCCAGCGGGGGGCCCGAACGATAGGTCGATCACCCCCTGGGGTCGTCCGACCCCTCCTCCCCAGAGAGGCTGCGGGGAGGATGGCCGGCCAGACTCCCGAGAGGCCCGTTGCCGCCCGAGGCAGGGGCGGAGGTCGGAAGCAGTCTAGCCAAGGCAGTTTCGAGCGAATTCTTGACCACTCCTCCGGGTGCCTCTTTTGGCACTGGCTCGGCAGCCCACCTTGCGCCGCTGGGTAGGTCGTCCTCCCCTCCCTCGCCGTCGTCGTACGTCGCGGCTTGCTCCCGTTCTGCTCGCGCCTCGGGCTGTCGCCAGGGGTTTCGTCATCCCCTCCTCCTCGGGTCCTCCGTCGTTCCGTTCCTTCCTCGCCTCCCTGCGCTGAGTTCTTCCCAGCTCCCAGGCGTCGCTTCCCTTTCTCTGGCACTCCTGTGTCGTCCACCTGTGGGTCGGCGCTGCCGTGCTATCCTGGAGTCGCTCGCGGGGCATCTGTCCTTGTCGCCTCCTTTCCCCTGCCGCCCGCGACTGTCCCGACTGTTCACCCGCGGAGCCCTTGCGGCGCCTCCCCTCTGTCTCCGCGCTGTGCGGGCTCTCTCTCTTTCTGCGCCTTTGCGGGTTGGCGCTGCGTGGCCGCGCGTCCCTGCCCTCGGCGTGCAGTGCCCCCCACTGGAGCATGCTTGATGGCAGTTCTCGTTTGCGGCCTCGCTAGTCTATCGCTTTGTTGGACCAGCCTGCCCTGAATGAAAAGAGTGTGTGTGTGTGTGTGTGTGTGTGTGTGTGTGTGTTGAAGCTCGCTGAGGGGCAGCGAACGCGATCTGTGTTTCTGGGGCGACGGGGGAGAGGGCAATTCTTTTGTTGGGCAAGAGCAGGCATGAGCAGCCCAATCGTCGGCACGAGCAAGCCTGAAGTCAGAGCTTCTCGCGAAGGGCGGCTGGAAGGATTGCCGTTGACCGATCAAGCGCGCCCGCCGAGCGCACGGGGGTCTGGCCCTCGAAACAACGCTGCCCCCCAGCGACCTTCAAAATGTGTGTGTGTGTGTGTGTGCTCAGCGCTGCTCACGCTACCACACGGGGTGGTCGACTTGCTCTCGGCGTGTTCCGCCTCTGCAGCCCTCCGACTGTCGACTGCACCCCGCCGGCGCGCTGGAGGAACAAGCGTGCGTGTGTGTGTGTGTGTGTGTGTGTGTGTGTGTGTGTATGTGTGTCGGAGTTGGATAGACCCCCTACCCTGACACGTCGATTAGTGAATTGGCCGTTTTCGGTTCGCGAGAGGGCGTCACAGCCGTTATTTTTGCGGGGCCAGGTCCGTCGGTTTCGGTCCTAGACCGTTTTCAAGAAAGGGTGGTTTACTAAAGGGAGGTTTGTCCACCGCCGAATGTGTGTGCGTGCGCGTCACTCAGCAATTTGAGCACGGATGCTGCCAACCTCCAGGAGGCCCGGAGAGGCCGGGACACACGGGACGATCTCGGTACAGATCCCTCCTCGAGCCCCCTCCCACCGGCCACGTCGGCTCCATGTGTCCCTGGGCCCTGCCCCGGGTTCCATCCCTGCGTTTGTTCCACAATCGCAGCTCGCTTTTTGCCGTGACGGTTCGGCCCGCAGCCCCCCCCCCAGGGGTCGAGACTGGGAGAGCAGCAGCCGCTCTCCTCTCGACACGACGTAAGAGTGACCTTTCGCCTGAGTAACCTTTGGTGCGGGCCAAATGGGGTCCCCCGATCGCCGCGCTCGTTGCGATATTAGCGTCTTGCGCGCTTGTGTTTGGCCTCCTCGCTCCCCCTAAAAAGCCGCGCACCAAAGGTCACTCTTACCCAGGGTCACTCTTGCGTGCAGCCGACCCTCTTGGCGCTCGGGCCGAGGACCCCCCCCCCACCCCGAGGGGGAGAGGCGGAGGTTCCGCGAGCTCCTCGCGTGCGCTCCCGCGGCCCCCCGAGACCTCCCGGTGCCTCGATGCTTCGTGTGGGCACCCCCGGCGCCCCGGGCCGGCTTTTCTCAGGAGGGGAGACAACGCACAGACACAATGCATCGTCCCCTCCCAGGAAACTAGGGGAAAAGATGGGAGGTGGGGGGGAAGACGAAACCCACGAGAGTATGCGAAAATCCTGGGGAATCTGGTTCTTTGTGTGTGTGTGTGTGTTCCGTTGTGCGTGCCAGGGCCCCTTCGTTGCCGTCCCGAGCCGTGCTTTGGGGCGCTGCCGGGGCCAGCGAGGGCCCCCCCCCCCCGGGAGGCCCGCCGCCGCCCGGGGCCCGGGCCTCTCTCTCTCGCCCGGTCGTGTGCCCGAGGCATTGTTTGTAAGAGGCCCGCGCCCGCTCCCGAGGCTCCGGGCGGTGGTGCCCTCGGAGCTCCAGGAGGCTCGCGGGCGGGAAGCATCCCCATTCGATGCTCGTTTCGGGGACCTTCCTGGAGCCCACCTAACGGATCTGTTCGACCCCAGTTCGACTCAGGTTCCACTCAAGTTCGACTCAAGTTCGACTCAGGTTCGACTCAGGTTCGACTCAGGTTCGACTCAGGGTCGACCCACATCGACTGACGTTCGACGCAGCTTCGACGCACGAGTGGAGCGAGTGGCTCCAGGAAGGTCCCCAGAACGAGCATCCAATCCCCAGATCCACGGCCTCGCGTCGGCACGAACGAAGGGTCGGCCACGCGCAGAGGGGGGTGGGGGAGGGGGAGGGCTTCTCAGAAGCAACCCCTGCTCCTCCTAAGGCGCGGGCCCTACACACATCTATTAATATTATTATATATAGAAAAGATGTAAGGCCGGCGCCTTTCAAGAGCACCTCCTTCTAAGAAGCCCTCCCCCCCTCCTCCACCACCTTGTGCTCGCCGCACAAGAATGGGTACAGAGAAAAATGGGTACAATGCCCAACAGCAGTTCCTGTTCACTGTGAGAACAGGACTCGCTGTCCGCGCCGCCGCGGCCCGTGTCCATTCGAGACGAACGACCGCCTGCCCAACAGCGGCCGCTGCTGGTTTGGGACAACATTTGTTGTTGGGCATTGTGCCCAACTTTTCCATACCCATTTCGGGCGTCCAAATCGCGGGCTGGGTCCCCAGGGCCTCGACCCCATAGACACGGGGCGTTTCTCTCTCGCGGATGCCCCGCGCGGGACGTACCCGTGCGACCGCGCATCCATGGGATCGCGTCCTGGAGCCCAGAGTATGACGGCGTGGACCCAGACATCCGACGATGTGATGCTTCAGTGCGCGCCCCCAGAAATTCCGACCCCTTCCACGGGCCAGCTTTGGACGGTCCCAGGGCCCGACAACGGGCAAACCTCCGGTTGGAAAAGTCATATCTTTCGGTTGCAAATAATGAGAGCCTTGTGTACCCTCGTACCTCGGTCTTTAGCGTCGAGTAGCGTCGATTAGCGTCTGGGAGTCGATGAGATGGCGCCGATTTAGCACCGATTTAGCGTCGATTAGCGTAGATTTAGCGTCCACTAGCCTCGATTTAGCGTCGACTGGCGTCGACTCGCAAGAGCCGACAACATTGCATGCGAGGCTCCCACTGGTTGCCACCGAAGGCAAACTTCCGGTTGGAAAAGTCAGATCCTCGGAGATCTGAGTCCTCGGTGGTTTTCGGGCCAGAGTGAAGTCGAGCCTGTCCCTCTACAGGAGGAATCTTTAGATATTTTGACTATTCGCAGATATTTTTGATATTTTTGATTTTTTCTAAATATGTTTTGACTATTTTTAGATATTCTTTCAGACATTTTTGACTATTTTTGAATATGTTTAGTTTTTTGATTATTTCTGACAGGAGGAAATAGTCAGGGGACGACTGTTTTTAGATACTTTTTGACTTTTTTTCAATATGTTCTGACTATCCTTACTTTCTCCTCGAAAATCCCCCCTGTATAGGGGGACGGGCCCGACTTTAGGGCCCGAGCTCGGGCCTCCGGCGGCCGCCCCCGGGACGATCCCGGGCGCCCCGCGGGGAGCGCCCCTCGGCGAGGCCCGGCTGCCCGCGGGCGTGCCGAGGGTGGGGCGGCCGCCGAGAGCCCACGGGGGCGCCCGAGAGCCTCGAGGCTGGAGCGTCATGGGCCACAGACACACGAAAAAGCACACAAAAAACACACAGTGGGGGAAAATAAACACTGCGTTTTTTTTTTTTTTTTTTTTTTTTTTTTTTTTTTTTTTTTTTTTTGTTAAAAAAAAAAATCATAGACATATTATTATTATTGTTATTATTATTGTTGTTATTATTATTATTATTTATATTATAATTTTGGATATATATATAGATATATTAAAAATATTATTACCCCCCCCCACAGTATGTTTTTTTCCCGTGGATGTTCGTGCACGGGGTCGATCAGGGGGCCACGTGCGAGCCCTACCCCTCCACCCCACGATTTCTGAGGGGGGGGGGGTTCACCTCGTTCGGGAGCTCCCGAGCGAGGTGAACCCCACCCTCCCCCTCAGAAATCGTGGGGGGTAGGGGTAGGGTTCGCATGTGGCCCCCTGATCGACTGCAGCACTGGTTCACCCCAGGCATTGTTTTTGCGTCGGGGCCCTGGGCAAGACATAGACATATTTCTCACAGGTCGACGCGCATCCTGCGCATGTTTCCCAGGCTCGACGAGAAAATTAATTCTGGAGTAGGTGGGCAACCTTCCCAAGGGTACCCTTGCATCCTTGCCTCCTCGGTCCATCCTTAGCCACTTTCGTTGGCCGCGCCCCGCTCGAAAAGCTTCGACATATGCGTCCAAGGCCCTTGCATCCTCACCGCGCACCCTTACGGTAATTCCGGGCCGACCGTAAATCAATTCTGGTCGATCCCCTACTCGATGGATCTGGAGATGCTGGCCGCTCGTGACCGAGGAGGCGCTGCGCGAGGCACAGCGCCGCCCGACGGGCGCCGACGCCGCGGGCGCGCGGGGCGCGCGGCCGCCGCTCTGCGTGCTGGCCCACACGGCGGCGGCGGCCGCGCGGTGCGGGCCGTCCGGCGCGGGGCCGCCGCCGCCAGCGAGCGCGGCGGCGCCAGACGCGTGGCTGGAGCGGGCCGGGAAAACACTCGGCGCGGAGGTCCCCGATCCCTCTATCTCCTCCATGCCTCCTCTATATCTCCTCCATACCTCCCTCCCCTCCTCCTCCTCCTCCTCCTCCTCCTCCTCCTCTCCTCCTCCTCCTCCTCCTCCATACCTCCCTCCTCCTCCTCCTCCCTCCTCCTCCTCCTCCTCCTCCTCCCTCCTCCTTCCTCCTCCTCCTCCGCCTCCCTCCTCCTCCTCCCTCCTCCTCCCTCCTCCTCCGCCTCCTCCTCCTCCTCCTCCTCCTCCTCCTTCTCCTCCTCCTCCATCCCTCCTCCTTTTCTCCGCCTCCTCCTCCTCCTCCTCCTCCTCCTCCTCCTCCTCCACCTCCCTCCTCTCCTCCTCCTCCTCCTCCTCCTCCCTCCTCCTCCTCCTCCTCCATAATACTCCCTCCTCCTCCTCCTCCTCCTCCTCCCTCCTCCTTCCTCCCTCCTCCTCCTCCTCCTCCTCCTCCTCCTCCTCCTCCTCCTCCTCCTCCTCCTCCCTCCTCCTCCTCCTCTTCTTCATGTCCCTCCCTCCTCCTCCTCCTCCTCCTCCTCCTCCTCTCTCCTCCTCCCTCCTCCCTCCTCCTCCTCCTCCTCCTCCTCCTCCTCCTCCTCCTCCTCCTCCTCCTCCTCCTCCTCCGTGTAGCATGTCCTTCTCGGGGGTTGCTCGAGGTGCCCCTGGCCCAAGGTGCCCCCAGCTTGTTGCTCCATTCTGGAGGCCCTGTGGGGCCCCCCTGGGCATCGTGATGGGGTGCGCTCTGGAGGCCATTTTAGAGACCCTGGGTGCCTCCTTGGAGATCCTGGAAATGACTCGGCGCGGAGGTCCCCATGCAGCCGGACCGAGGTATGAAAGATCGAGGTCGGTGCGGGAAGGGTACACCAGGGTTCTTGGTGTTTGTTGGGTGCTGTCTTGTGCATCCTGGGGAGGGTGTCCTTGGATGCTCCGTGTGTTTTGGCCAGCGAAGGGTCTCATGCTCTGGGAGGGTGCTCTTTTGCCCCAGGTCCGACTGTGTCTGCACTGCAATTCCTGGCACGTCCCGCTGTGAGTGTCTGGCTGTGAGTGTCCCGGTGTGGGAGCGAGTGTGGACACCAGGTGACAAATCAGTTCTTCCCACGACGCGCGAGCACGCGGGGGGGGTCGGCGCTCCCCCTGGCCCGCCGTCGCCGAGGACGAGGACAACGACGAGGGCGAGGACAAGGACGAGGACGAGGACGAGGACGACGACGACGACGAGCACGACGACGACGACGACGACGACGACGACGACGACGACGACGACGACGACGACCACGACGACGACGAAGACGACGACCACGACGACGACGACGACGACGACGACGACGAAGAAGACGACGACGACGACGACGGCTACCGTGTGGCCCCTACACCGCCCTCCCAAGACGTGCTCGCGGGGCGAGACGTGGCGACGGGTGGTTTGGGGGCCCTCGCCGGGCCCCGAGGCCGCCAGACACAGACTCAAGTCGGGCCTGTTCCCCTACAGGGGGATTTTCGACGAAAAAAAGAAAATCTCCCAACATAGTCAAAAAATAGTAAAGAAATAGTGCGGGGACTATTTTTTGAGTATTTTTTTGCCTTTTGGAGTATTGTTAAAGTATTTTTTATTTTTCGTCGAACATCCCTCTGTAG